TTTTAGGGTTCGCCACACAACAATCGGAGAAACTCCTAATCTGTATGATAATAATCTGCGAATGTTTATGCTTGGGTTTTCTTCCACAATTTCTAGTATATCTGGTTCCACGTCTATAATATGCTTGGTTCTTTCACGACCATGATCCGTCGTACTTGGCTGAAATTTTCCGTTTTCCCGGAGACGTTGAACAACGGCACTAAATGTTGCGTGATGAGGCACTCTTCGGCCTGGAAATTCCTCCTGGTAGAGACGCTGCGCGTCATGAGCATTTCCAAATGCTCTTCCGTAAATCAAGACCATATCGGTCATTTCGGCAATAGAAAAAGCTGCCATTTTAAAAGTCAATAAATTTGACGGAATTTTTAGAGTTACTTAAGCAATGAAGATTACGTTTTTTTTTTTTTAATTTTTACAGTGCACCTACAATGGTACATTTTTCTTAGTAACCACATTAATTATCCTTTTAATCACTATTAACTCAGTAGCGTACATGCTATTTTGACCAAATTTTCAATCAATTTTATTTTGAAAACTAAAACACTTTTATTAGAACATTTTTTTGTTAATGGTATCTGAATAGATACTCTGAATATGCAGACCATTTTTCATTTTTTTTGGCGGTGCATTTCGCAACCACCCTGTATATAGGATTTTGAAATAAGCTCAAAAAATAAAATCACATATTTCATCATTTTATTAATTCTGATGCAAACTATGAATACAAATCTCAAAATTCATACCTATGCTACCGATCGGCAACAAAAGCAACACAAAGAAAAAAAATCTAAGTTAAAAACCAAAGCTGCTATAGATTCTTTAAATGGACTGTTTTTTCCAAATCCATTTCAAGGTCAGCGATATCGTTCTAAAATAAAAATTAATTAAATAATTTCTTCACTTTGATCGTCAGGAAAATAAATAAAAATTTGAATACGAAGCAATAATTGGTCATCGAGTTTTGTGTATTGACTTTCGTACTCCGTTATACATCTGTTTCATATTAAATTTTCTCTCTCATATCCAATATGTAGCTAACTTAAAACTAATAATAAAGCAGCAGATATAACAAATTATTCACAGGCAATGGAAGCAACCAGTGTCATTTGCTTTCAGTCACAAAAGCAATTCAAAATAAAAAAATGCTACTAGAAATAACAGAGGCATGCCAAGAGGCGGGTTTGGAAATAGAGGCTTCTATTTGTGATCAAGGAAGCACGAATCAAACAAAATAATACCGATGAAGCCCTCTGATCATAAAAACGTAAGCATGATCACCTAAACGTGTAGTCAATTTTCCAACATCTTCTAACACCAATTATACACTCATTTCGTATATAATAAGACAAATTTGATATTATCGTCATCTCTTTTTTATTATCAACTTTTATACAATTTATTTCACAATAAATTAGACTGTATTGATATTCTAAACAGATTTAATATACTTGTACCTAGACTTAATTCTCGCCAACAAGTTCTGTTTTAACCAGATTCTAACCGTACAATCTCAGTTCGCTCTTCAGTTTCGGCTATGTCTAATTTATTCAACAAAATTGCACATTTATGTAATATTAATTTTGATTCTAGTTCTAGTATTTGTAATTGCATTGTAAATTTGGTTTAATTTGTAATTAGCTATAGATCAGAGGCGGCTGGTGGGTCAATATTTCTGGTCGGCCAAATATTTTTGGCCACCTTTGTGTTATATATTTTCGTAATGTATGGTCGCTAGTCGTTAACCACTGACATTTTAAGTGCCAGAATGTACAAAAACATCTCGAATATTTCGACCTCGACTTGTTAAAATAATTTTTTTATAGGAAATTGACAATGTCAGTTTGATTCCAAATACTATTAATCGTTAATTCTACTTGTTCTGCTTTATCATTAATTGAGAATCGTTCTAAAAACTAAATTCGCATTGCTGGGTACGGCGAAGGAGGATCTCACCGGACCTGGCGCAACATACGTTCCGCTCGTAAACAGTGTAGTAGACAAAGAGAACGATGAAGCCGTAAGCTGCTACTACGTCCAAACATCGAGCATTATGCATTCCTAGATACGGCGTGCCGAAATCTCGCCGACAAAGCGTGTTTATCAGCATTTAAAATTAGCAACAAATGGTTTATTTTGTACCTATAATATAATAAAATATATTTTTAATAGATATTTTCTATACTAAACGTACATTCAAACTTTATTTATTTTTTTATTTTCTACTTTCAACGCTAACTAAGTATTTAAAAATGATTGGTACGGCGTGGCCGACCCTGCCGCCCCTGACCAGCCGCCCTTGCTATAGATACTTTTGTTTTTTCAATATTTATACTTTTTAGTTGCTGTCATGAATTAGTTTAGTTAGTTTGATATTATTCCTATAATTAGGTGTTACCTGTAGGAATAAATATCATTGTCTCTGTGATTTAACTAGATTAAAAGTTTTAATTAAATTGTTTCAATAAATGTTTATTTTTTTAACATAAATGTTCATTATGTTTCAAGCTATTGTCACGCGTCTAAGAACAGTCTGTATGGTGACAATAGCTTGAATCGTAATGAATATTTTTCACTAGCAACCATGAAGCATGCAAATGTGGACTCATTTAGAGGTAGCAAATTCAACTTTTGCGACCACCGGTTCAAAAAGAAGATTGCGGTTATGTACGCAATACTTGATGTGATTATTTCTTAAAAAATGAATAAATGTGTGCTACTAACATTACTTGAGTATACGCATGGTAGTTGGTAGACGGTAGAAGATAAAATGATTAATTCAGCGACAAGTGTAAACGGTTTTCTTTGTGTTGAAGATTTAGATTAAGTTTAATTAGAAATCAAAACAAAATCATGTTGCGTCAAAAAATTGAACATTTATTTTTTCAATTTATTGTCTTATGCTTTCTACTAGTGAAAAAAATAGTATATTAACCACGGTTGCAAAGTAGTGTTGGGCATAATCGACATATTTCATTAATCGAATGAATCGAAATAATCGTTTAAAATAATCGAATAATCACTTGAAAATTCGATTATTGTCCAGTGCGCATGCGTGGCTTGACGAAATCTGAATCGAACATTCAATTAGCCAATAACACGTGACGTCACGCTGTTGCGGGAACTCAGCGTTTGACAAGCGCCGTGAAACTCCATAAGTGATAATGTTAACATTTTCGCATTTTATTTAAAAGTGTGGGTATTTATCTAGAAAATAAACACGTGAATAGCTTCTTTCATATCTTTTCTGTGTATCTGGGTGCTTTTTTTGGCGATTTGAGTTAAAAAAACCATAATAAAAATAAAAATACAGAACGCTGTCTTGGTCTGAATTCCTTGTCACCCAAAATACATCCGTGTGTTTTAAGCGGTAAATCGGAAATTAATATTTTCGTTTGAGGTTAATGTGACGGGTTTAAGTGAAGGTGTGTGATTTGTTTTTAAAGTATGGAGAATTTAAGTGATTATGCACGATGTCTTTCTGTCAAAGAGAAAAACAGATATGTACAAAAGTTAAACAATTTAAACGGCGTAGATCCTTATACAATGAGTGCAAGTGATTTTAATTTGTATTTAGACGATTTCTCTACCATAACAATGAATACCATTCTAAACTTTTTTATTTTTGGAATAAATAAAATAACCCACAATGAAATTCGTGCATTCAAAACTCTACAGGCATTTATTCAGTTTTCTCTTTTTTAAACGACTGTGTCTTTCAACATTACAAGTATTATGAGTGGATTTATTTTAATATCCTAAATTTTGTTATGGAACATAATCAGGATGGTCCACATCCGACAAATCTGCGGGTTTGCCTAAAAGAGCACCAATGTAGTAATTTATTAAAAACTGTAAATCTAATAGGTAGTTACTGTACCTAAAATAAAATGATCCGAACAAACATAGGAATACTTTACTTTGGCTTCGTTAAATCCACCCGTTTCAAGGCTTTTAACCAAAGCTTCCGCCTTTTTTCCCCATCCTGTATATATTTACCTTTATTGTTGCTAATTGCTGGGAAAGGAAAATAAAATTTGTCCGCATTTCTGGTGCTTTGATTCGCGCAACCCATAACAGCATAAAATTTAGGCATTTTCTCCTAAAATACAAAATATTATAATATTAAGATGCTAGTGTATTTAAAAAACATTGATGTACATTAACAAAGATTTATTAATTCGCAAAACAAATAATATAAGATGCAGCGAAGTTAACCTGTACATCACATTGGAAAACATTATTTTTTAAGCATATTCAACCGTTATGGTGCGTTTTACAGATATCTACACAATCTAGAAAGTGTAACAAAATTACCAAACTATAAAAACACAGTTGACACACTCTCAAATTTAAATGAATTCCGAAAATATTAGCATTGACTCTTATGAGAAAACCGGCTAGTTGTCAAACGCTGCCATCTTGATGACCTCGAATGACGTCAGTGTATTTGGCTAATTACGATTTATTTATTGATTGAAAATAGTTTCATTGTCAGTGGTCCGTATTCTTTTCCCTTAATTAATATTTAGAGACGTTCGTTATTTTTTTTTCTCTTTGATATATGCTTTTATCGTATTCTTTTCTCACTCATTGTAATCAAAATTTTAGAAACCGATTGGGTTAACAAAAGGGAAATCATACGGCCCAATATGTTTGTAAATTAATATATTATGTAGTATTGTAGTTAGATATTTTGACATTTGACACGTGTGTGATGAGCTCAATTGTGTTTTTGAATATCGTCTGCATTAATGCCTATTATTTGTGAAAGTTTGTTTGGATGTTGATTTAACAATTGGCTGTAAGGCTGGAACAGTAATTTTAGCTGTTTGTTTAATTAGTTTAGTTTTTTTTTACTTTTTAGGTTTTTATTTGGGTGGTGGGATTCTTCTGTTTACTTGATTAGTGCAGTTGAAGTGCGCTTGTGGAGCTGCCGGCGGTGCTCGCAGCGAACAGCTGTGTGTGTTTACGTAGGTGTTTGTTTACATTTATTCATCAAGCTTTATTTTTCGCTGTATATGGTTTAACATGTTTTCAGTTTGTGGTGCCTGTCATGGGCATATCCAAGGAGTTTCCCTCTCCATATTATGTTCCGGAATTTGTGATAAGAGGTATCACTTAACTTGTGTTAATGTTCCTGCTGATGTACATAAATATTTGGATATGAACGTTGGATTATGCTGGAAATGTCCTGATTGCATGCGGAAATGTTTTTGTGTGGACTCGGAAAATCTTAATACTTTTCTACAGGAAAAATTTAATGATTGGTAGGTAGTTTAAAAGATACTTTTGCTGTTCTAAAAACGGATCTTTTAAATGACTTCACGAAACGTTCTGTTGGAAATGCTGATGCCAGTGCTCCAGTTAAATATGCTGATATTATAAAGAATAAAAGCAAGCCAGCAGTAATTATTGAACCGAAAAATGTTGAACAAAATTCTCAGCAAACTAAATCGCATATTGCTTCCACTATTAAACCATCAGAATCAGGTATTCAGATTTCGCAGGTAAAAACTGTCAAACGTGGTGGAATTTTAGTTGGGTGTTCATCGACTGAAGATAACTCGCGGTTTAAGAAAATTGCTCAGGAGAAATTGGCAGATTCATACATAATTAAGGAAGTTAAAGGTATTTATCCAAGGGTTAAGATTGTTGGTATTACTGAAAAATACTCTTCGGAGGATTTAGAGGAAATTCTCGATCATGTTATTAGAATTAATTCAGATATATTTGATCCAAATTCGGTCTGTAAAGTTCTTAAATTCTGGCCCACTAAGAAGAAACCGAATGTTTATCAGGCAATTTTACAAGTGGACAAAATATCTTATGATCGTTTAATTTCTTCTGGTGGTCTATTTGTAGGCTATGATTATTGTTATACATTCGATGCTGTCGAACTTAATCGGTGCTTTAATTGCAACAGTTTAGGTCATTCTTCTTACGTTTGCACTCAGAAAATTTGTTGTCCTAGATGTTCTGGAGATCATAATGTGAAAAACTGTATTGCTGCTAACTTAAAGTGCATTAACTGTGTCAAATCGGCGGAGAAAGATAAAACAACCTTAGATACTGGTCATGCAGCGTGGGATACTAGGTGTCCTACATACTTAAAAGCCTTAGAAAAACTGAAACGAGATTTGCTTATGACTTATGACATAGCAATTAGAGTCTAACAATATTAATAATTTATACATATACTATCAAAATGTTTGTAGCATGAGATCTAAGGTAAATGATATATATGCTGGTGTTACTAGTGCTGAGTTTGACGTAATTTGTATAACTGAGACTTGGCTTGACCCGTCCATTAATAATTGTGAGTGTTTTCCGGCCAATTATAATGTTTTTCGTGCTGACAGGGATTTTCAGAGGACTGGGCGTAAGAGAGGTGGGGGAGTACTTCTGGCTGTTAATAATATATTTACGGTTAAAAGTTTGGATTTGTCTGAATTTGATAAGTATTGTTTAATAGACATCGTTGGTTGCAAGTTAAGTAATCAAGGTGATCATGTTTACATTTTTGTGGTCTATGTTCCCCCAGCTATTCCTATAGAAGATTTTGAGTAATTTTTTGAAACATTTGGTAATTTTTCTCTGGAGTATACGAATGTAGTTTTAATTGGGGATTTTAATGCAGTTAGTTTTTGCAGTAATACCATAGATAGGAAATCCAATGGACTTCTTCAAATGTCTGCGCTATTGAACTTGACGCAATTTAATAGTGTACCTAATAGTGACGAACATTTTCTTGATTTAATTTTTAGTAGCTTAGGGGAGTGTGCTGTAACGCATGATACTTCTCCTCTGGTGGTGGAAGATAGATATCATCCTGCACTAAATATTAATATTGGTCTTAAACATCAGTCTTATGTTAATTTTCCAATAAGTTCGGAGTCAAAAATTTACAATTTTAAGAGAGCGAATTTTTCTTTATTGTATACTGATATGTTAAATGTTAATTGGAATTCACTATATCAGATTAGGGAAGCTAATGATGCATGCGGATATTTCTACGAGCAGTTGTATTCCATATTAGAGAGGCATGTTCCGTTGGTGAAGAGTAAAAAATATAAGTATCCAAATTGGTATTCTGAAGAACTGAGAGGAATGCTCAAATTAAAACGAAAATTATTTAGGAAGTACAAACGCAGTCATTGTGACAGCTGGTATCATGAATTTTCTTCTGTTCGTAGAACGGTTAAAACTCTCATTTGCAGAGACTTCAAAGATTATATCAACAGAGTGCAAAGTTCTCTTCTGTCAGATCCAAACTTTTTTTGGTCCTTTGTAAAGGAGAAGAAAGGTCGTACGTCTATACCTAACAAAGTGTACTTAGATGATTGCTGTTATGATCAACCGAAGGATATTGTTGATGCTTTTGCGAAACTATTTTGTTCTTCATTTAATTCGACTGCTGATGACCTAGCACCTCTTGGCATGAATTACATTAACAAAATTAAGAATCTATGTTTTAGTATTCAAATTACTGAGGATAATGTTCATCAAGCGATTAATAAACTGAAAAATAACTCTGTTTCTGGAGTTGATCAGATACCCTCTTTTTTTATAAAGGACTGTTCAACTACACTCTTGAAAGCATTGTGTTATCTGTTCAATCTCTGTGTTAAAAATTCCAGCTTTCCTGATATATGGAAGGATGCCAGAGTAACTCCAGTTTTCAAATCTGGTGATTTTGCGGATGTTCGAAACTACCGTCCTGTGTCCATTTTATGTAATTTTTCCAAGGTTTTTGAAAATATATTGCATAAACAAATGTATTTTAACATCAAAGATATCATTTCTACATATCAGCATGGTTTTACTGCTGGAAGATCAACACTAACCAACCTAACGTGCATGTCTCAGGTTATTGCTGACACACTTGATGAAAAAAAACAACTTGATGTAATATACACAGATATTTCAAAAGCTTTCGATAAAATTAACCATAGGATTCTGTTAGAAAAATTATCAGCTCTAGGATTCTCAGATTTGGTGGTTAAATTTTTTTCGTCTTACTTATCTGGGCGTAGAAATTTTGTGCTATATAATGGTTTTAAATCGGACTGTTACACAGCTACATCTGGAGTTCCACAAGGCTCTACCTTAGGGCCTTTGTTCTTTCTGATCTACATTAACGATGTCGTTGATGTGATTGAAAATTCCAAAATACTTATTTTCGCTGATGATATAAAATTATATCTTAAAATTAATTGTGTTGAAGATTGTCAGTTGTTGCAGAATGATATTGACAAAATACAATCCTGGTGTTCATTAAATGGTTTACCTTTAAATAAGGAAAAATGTAAAGTGGTTACGTACAGCTTATGTTATCAACCCTTTTGATATGATTACGGTATTGATGGCATGATTATGCAAAGAATGTTGACTGTAAAGGACCTAGGAGTCTGTTATGATTCGCAATTTTCTTTTCGTGAGCAAATAAATAACATAACAAGTAAAGCAGGTAAGATGCTCGGGTTTATTATTAGGAATTGTAAAGAATTCAGTAATATTTCTATTTTAAAAACTCTGTATTATTCGCTGGTTAGAACTAGATTGGAGTATTGTTCGTTGGCATAGTTTCCTTACTATAACAACCAAATAACAGTGCTTGAAAATGTTCAGCGTAGGTTTTTAAAATATTTGTTTTATAAGGATGAGAGAAGATGGCCAGTGAGGAACTGTTCGAACAGATATTTACTTGAAAGATTCCAGTTTAAATCATTGTATTGTAGACGTATTGGTAGCGCACTTGTTTTTTCTCTACAAAATTTTAAATAATATTATTGATTGCAGTGATCTACTCAGCAAACTACTTTTCTTTGTACCCAGAATAAATAGCAGATATGTTACAACGCTATATTGTAATACACCCAGGACCAACATCGGAAAAAAAGCTCCATTGTATATTATCTGCACATACCTGAATCGAATCGATAGAGATGCAGCCTGTGATATATTTTTTTGTTCATTAAGGAAACTGTTACAAACTGTGAATGAAATTTATGTTTAGTTGCATTCAATTTGATTAATTTTATAATTAAGTACTTGCGAATACGGTGTTAGTTAGTTATTTAGTTAATTGATAATTATATTTTAAGTTTGGGAATTATTTGTCCTGTAAATGGAACTATTGCTCTGTTGGACAAATAAAGTATTATTATTATTATTATTAATATTATTATTAGTTATATTCAGTCACACTTGCAACACACTACCACCAACCTAACAAATGAAATTTACTAATCATTTCGATTATTTTCTACGGTTAGTTGCCTGAATCCGAATGAATTATTTCGAAATCTCGAATCGTAATCAGGGTTTGTAAGGTGTTATTATACCGTAATATTACACGTAGTTTTTAACTATTTTTCAAGTCATTAATTAACAATTATCTACATAATTAATTACACCAATTTTTACGTTGAGTAAATTTATTCTTTTTAATGAAATAAGTGCTAGACCAGCAGACCAGTACTGCTGAATGCTGATAGCATACTCTTTAGTCTTTACTCAGTGATCACATTATTACAGAACAGAAGTTATTTCCAAAATGAAAGGGGCTAAAAGTACCTATATACCAATAATATTTTCATAATTTATTGAAGAAAACAACAAAATACATTATTATTATTCTAATTAAATCGTGAATGGTATAAAACAGACCTATGAGCAAGGAGCCTTTGTTTCCACGTATTTTTTCAAAATTTTATTACAAATATTACAAACAGCAGCAACTTTACTGTTAATTTTTATTGTAGTAAATTCCCCTACTGACCAAAAGTTGTGGTATTTTCTACCCGGCATCTTTCTTATTCTCACCACACAACTCTCAAACCGTTTCCAAAACTTAAGTTTGCTGACTTTACAGTTGGAGGTTAGAAGATTTGACATTTGTATCTTGATATACGTATAAGTAAAAACTACATATTAACGACATAAAAAACTACACGTAACCTAATTAATGTAGTTAATGTCTTTTACATGTAGTTTTACAAACCCTGCGTAATCGGTTCGTATACTCGTGCGCAATCGACATAAAAAACGAAACGAATAAACGAATGATTTCTAAACGATAATCGAATGATCGATTATATCATTCGTAATCGCCCAACACTATTGCAAAGCCACTTCTAGACCTCGCGCTTCAGAGCCCTCGACGCTGCGCGTCTCGGGTTCTTATTTGCGCTCGGTCTAGAATGCTTGGCTTTGCAACCTTGGCTAATAATATACTATTTTCTACTTCATTTTCACATGCTTTGGTTAATAGCGATACCTTTAAAATTCGTGCAATTTTTGATTTAGTTGTCCGCACATCCACGGGCGGCGCGCTGTTTCTATTAGCCAATAACACGTGACGTCACGCTGTGGCGGGAACTTAGCGTTTGGCAAGCGCCGTGAAACTCCATAAGTGACAATGTTAACATTCTTGCATTTTATTTAAAAGTGTGGGTATTTATCTACAAAATAAACACAGAATAGCTTCTTTCATATCTTTTCTATGTATCAGGGTGCTTTTTTTTGGCGATTTGAATTTAAAATTACATAATAAAAATAAAAATAAAGAACGCTGTTTTGGTCTGAATTCTTCGTCACCCAAAATACATCCGTGTGTTTTAAGCGGTATATCGGAAATTAATATTTTCGTTTGAGGTTAATGTGACGGGTTTAAGTGAAGGTGTGTGATTTGTTTTTAAAGTATGGATAATTTAAGTGATAATGCACGATGTTTTTATGTCAAAGAGAAAAACAGATATGTACAAAAGTTAAACAATTTAAACGGCGTAGATCCTTATACAATCCGTGCAAGTGATTTTAATTTGTGTTTAGACGATTTCCCTACCATAACAATGAATACCATTCTAAACTTTTTTATATTTGGAATAAGTAAAATAACCCACAATGAAATTCGTGCATTCAAAACTCTACAGGCATTTATTCAGTTTTCTCTTTTTTAAACGACTGTGTCTTTCAACATTACAAGTATTATGAGTGGATTTATTTTGATATCCTAAATTTTGTGATGGAACATAATCAGGATGGTCCACATCCGACAAATCTGCGGGTTTACCTAAAAGAGCACCAATGTAGTAATTTATTAGAAACTGTAAATCTAATAGGTAGTTCCTGTACCTAAAATAAAATGATCCGAACAAACTTAGGAATACTTTACTTTGGCTTCGTTAAATCCACCCGTTTCAAGGCTTTTAACCAAAGCTTCCGCCTTTTTTCCCCATCCTGTATATATATTTACCTTTATTGTTGCTAATTGCTGCGAAAGGAAAATAAAATTTGTCCGCATTTCTGGTGCTTCGATTCGCGCAACCCACAACAGCATAAAATTTAGGCATTTTCTCCTAAAATACAAAATATTATAATATTAAGATGGTAGTGTATTTAAAAAACATTGATGTACATTAACAAAGATTTAATTTGTAAAACAAATAATATAAGATGCAGCGAAGTTAACCTGTACATCACATTGGAAAACATTATTTTTTAAGCATATTCAAATGTTATGGTGCGTTT